GTGTGTGTAGACTGCTGTCCAATCAACGGCTGTCAATCTGAACCAATTTAGCATTAAAAGATCCCTTCGCAGAGTTGGTGATATGTACTGGTTCTTTTTTTCAGCGATTCGTATTTTTCAACACAGAACCGGTTCCGGGGTTTCCATTGGTTCTAATCGGCAGAGGAGCGCCTTTTCGTTCAAAATCCCGGAACGTGTCGGTGCCGACGTACACACACCGGTCACGACCAGGCGAGTGGCCCGAGGCATACCACAGCAGACGCGATAAACCCACACCATGAACAACAACGCTTTAGCAGCGGCAGGCCAGCGATCTGTAGCGAAATCGTTGCCTCTGAGACTGCAGTGTGGTGCTGCTGCTGGGCATGGGGACGCCCAGACCGCGCCTACTGGCGCCGCACAGCGGGCACCGAGCGGCATGGCCCGCCAGGCCCTTCACAGCAGGGTTACCCCCCACACCGTTACACAACAGGTGGTGCCACCTGGCGCGGGGATGATGCCGGGCTTCTCGGAGGACGCTGCTCGGCAAGCTCGTCAGGGGGCCGGAGCAAAGGTTCTCAACGACAACCGATTTCGCGACGCCCCATGGAGAAATTGGAGCGAGTCGGAGAGCGGCGACGACGACGAGGGAGGGGGCAGCCCAACGTCAAGTGGCAGCAGCAAGGTGTCGGTAGAGGACAGTTCAGCTCCGTCGGACATTGGCTCACAGTCGGCAGATGTCGTGTTCGAAAAGGAAGTTCGGAAAGCAATGGCCGGGAGAGGGGGAGCGGGCACGAGGACCAAGAACCACGGCAAGCGGAAGGCGAGCGCCGGCCGTCGTAGGGAAGAACAAAGCAGCAGCATCCCATCACGCGAGTGCCAAAAAAGCCCGGGGCAAGGACTACCCGCACTGGGCCACACACTTTCTGAAGCGGACATGCGCGCACCGCAAGATCCCGAGGATGTCGCAGAGCAGCAAGGATGTCCTGGTGGCGACCCTGGGATCTCTCGACCCAACATGAAACGATTATCTCCGTACATCGATGCTATCCCAGCCGGTGAGATGCTGGTATTGTGTAGATTGGTCAATTAGAGTACCAGCAGACGACACAGAGTATCGACAAAATATTTGAAGTTATGCTGCAGTTGAACGTGTTGTGCGCAGAGGAAACAAAACAAAATTGCTGCTGCTGTGTGTGCGTGGTGCCCGCTTCAAATTAACCTATTTGTACAGTACCACGTACGGCATGCTCGAGAGCTGTTGTATTTGCCGCAGTAGGTGGGATATTGAAGGCACTCACATCGTACCACACGGCATGCTTTCTTGACGATATTCAACCGGTGGTGCACCGAACAATACGAACAGGGTTTTCGCACGATTGAGAGCGAAATTTCCGATTGAGAGCGAGAACCAAAAAAAATCGAACTTCGGGTCCAGACGCCTCCCGTCATTTCTCGGGAAGCAGGGGACGGGCTCTTCCAAAAAGCGGCGCAAATTGAAGCTCTCTTCAGCAGCTTCGCGTCCATATGCGTGTCACTGCGGTCGGCTGCAGCAGCGAGGAGCTACGCACGTTGCTAGATTTCCCCAGATTGGCTATTCCTGCCCGAAACTGTTTCAGGGCGCCGTCGCCTGGCGCGGTAGGCCCTCCCGTAGCTTCTGCTCCGCGGTGTAGCTCCACAACGCGAGACACCCGCATGATGACCCGGGTATCGGCTTGTGGCTATGGACAAGCCCTTCAATTCAAGCCGCACAGAAAGCTCTACCTCTCAGCAGTAGACAAGCTACATCGTATCGCACGATCTCGCTCTCAATCAGATACTTCGCTCTCAATCGTGCGAATATGTTGTTTACGGTTAATCTTTGGGTGTTATGTCCTTTCACGCCCAGAGGAAGTAGGGTAAGGTGAACGATGTTTTGTGGAGGACAGTCACGAGGAATATGATACTGTAGAGTGTACTGGATTCCTACACCGTATCGGTTGGGGCGGTCCCAGCAGGTTGAGGTTTGCAACTCGATTTCAGCATCGGTGGGGGCGTGACGTAAACGGGATGAATAGCAACACGGCAAGAGGAGTGTAGCAAGCCAAGCGCCATGTACCCTGACGGGCGAGGTATCATTCAACCCCGGTAACCTGCCAGCTAACTTGACTCTGATCCCACCCCCACCCCCGAATCTTTGATGTTACTGCTGACGCAGTCTGCGCTTAACTCGGACAAGAAGATCGTGGGCTTTCTGATGGATGCTCGTGATCCCGCTGGTTCCGAGATTGTGCGTGCTCGGTTTGCATGGCGCCGGATGCTGCCCCCGAACGTCTCGCCGATAGCCGACATCACCCAGTGATGGAGGTGGGTCGGCGTTGACTGGTCAACAGTTGTGGCTCGTTTCCAGCATCTTCCCCTTCCTTCTCGCGCCAATCTTCTCCAGTCCGGACAATCTGGTGAGTACGGCTGGTGGGCAGAGACAAACAATGGGATATAGCCAACGAGGTGGCGTGGGTGGACACGTGCCTACGATTTCGGCCGTATATTGCAAATCAAAGGGGCATTCTGTACGTTGTTTGCCCACCGCCACCGCCGGTGGTCCACCTCTGAAAATGGCGTATGAAAGAGACACCACAACCACTGCTGTGTCTTGTTACTTCGCTCACACCGAACCGGGGCCCAACGAAACTCTTTGCAGCTTAACGATCAGTCCGGTAATTTGATCCCCGAGAGTCTTAACATGCCCTTGAAAGTAGCTGAATATGACTATTATAGACTGTACGCCTTAGGCCATGTCGAGGACTCGGGGCATAGGAGCGATTGGATACATGGGAAGCAAAAGAAAAAAATGCTTTGCGTCGATTCGCTATATATATATCGGGCCCCCTACGCCAACCCTACCGGTCAAAAGCTACGAACTTCAGCAATTTAGAGGGTGTTTTATGCGGCCTCTCTCGACGTTTACGAACACGTTGTCCTGACATGTTTACATCGTTTCTTGGCGATGCTGCCGTAGGCGAAATCTGGAGGGGAGTGGTGCAGAAGAGGGCGACATCGGACAAATTTTGGACCACCATCTCTCGTCCGATTTAAAACCTAACTCCGCGAATCGCGAATCAGTGTGTGCCTCACAATGGACATGCGACTGTGGGTTCACCCCCACCTCCATCATCCCATGTGCTGTAATAAGGGCCGCTATGTTCGGACCATGGTCGTTACGGAGGTGGCAGATCGCATCAGTGTGGAGCCCGACACCCCCGCTGGCAAGGAGGCTGTGTGCAATACCTTCCAATACCTCGTCAAGGCTTGCAGCTGGAGCTGTTTCGAGGTGCGCTCACAATCATTGACTGCGGAAGGCTTTCATGTTTTACAACAGTCCCAGCAAGAGCAGGTACGGAGAATCCCTTCAGGCCTGCGAACTTTGCGTGCGACCAGTAGAGATGCGACGATTGCGGATCCCGCCAGACACCGGGATGGACGACACGAAAAAAAATTAGGGACCCCTTTGTGATTTGAACAGCAAGCGATACCCGACGGCAGCCCGTTCGCCCGACGGCGACGCACTTGGAACCAGCCCTTTTGCCCGCTCGTTTCTCTGCACACACCCGGACGCATTATATGGGTAGGCCTCAGCAACCCCTACACTACAGCAGTCGAGGTATGTGTACCTGAGCAGCTTGAAGTTACCGATTCGTTAATATCATGGGATTCTCTTGCGAACGCGGTGTGGATAGGTCAAGCAGGCAACGCGAGTGATAGGGGTTGCTCTCGGAACCATCCACAAAGGGCTTCACATCGCTCGCAATGTGGTCGTTAACGGTGAGTTTGTTCGTGAGTCTGCGAACATTGCTGTTGGATACATGTGCTGGATGATTTTGTGTCACGCAGACTGGTAAGATAACCGTTTGATAGGGGGCACCGCGATGATTCACGGGGCCCCTCCTTGCTGTGGGAGCCGCTCTTTGAGC